AGGGAGGGAGGGAGGGGGGAGGGAGAGGGAGAGGGAGAAAGGAGGGAGGGAGGGAGACATGCACACATGCCTTCCTTTGCTTGCTTGATACTCTCACTTGATGAGATGCTATGTTTAGGTTCATCCACAAGGGGGCAGTCTTCATTGCTTTCGTGTAGCTTTCTACTTGGTCCGCACCACCAACTTGGGTGAAGGTCATTCATTCGCTAGAGGAACTTAACCGCCCATCCATAGCCGGTATCAATATGTTATACATTGCTGAACCAAGGCACTCTAGTGTCATTGACCCCAGGTCAATGTAGGTCTCTATGCCCCTCCAAAATTCCTATGTTGAAATCCTAATCCCAGCTGTGAGTCTGCTCTATTTGGAAGTGGGTCCTTTAGGAAGTAATAGGTTGTAAGAGTGGAGGCCTTTCATTGGGATTTGCACACAATCCTTAGGAAACAGGCCACACAGGGCTCTTTCACAAAAGAAGACACAATGAGAAAGGGCAGCTAGGCAGAGGAACCTCGCCAGAACCCAACCATACAGGTACCTGATCTTGAACTTCCAATACATAGAGCTGTTTGAAATTTCTGTTCCTTACAAGCTACTCGTCTATGACTTTTTTTTTTCTTTTTGTTTTTGAAACAGGGTCTCATGTAGCTCACATTGGCTCTAAACTTACTAGGTAGATGAGGATGACCTTGAACTTCTGATTCTCCTGCCTCCACCTCCCAAGGTGCTGGGGTTGCAGGGGCTGGAACACAGGGGTTCTTGCATGGTAGGCAGACTCTTTTCCAACTGAGCTACACCCCTAACTCCTCAGCCTATGGTGCAGCGTTATAAGAGCATGAACTAGGACACCAGACTCCTAATGCTTCCCAGAATAAAGGAACGTAGTCCCTGGTCTAGCTCCACAGAAGCCTTGTACTGATCTCTTCTGCATTGTGGTAAGCCTTTAATAATTCAATATCAAAGGTCTCCTTTTTTGTTTGCTTGAACTACATACACCCGGATCTTATTTCTAGTTGAATTAATTTCTTAACAACTAGATTACTTCAAAACATTTGCTTTAAATGATGCATTAAAAAAAGGGAGTGGGCAGTGGTGATGGCCTCTAATCCCAGCACTTGGGAGGCAGAAGCAGGTGAATCTCTGAGTTCAAGGCCAGCCTGATCTACAGAATGAATTCCAGGACAGCCAGAGCTATTATACAGAGAAACCTTGAAAAGAAAGATACATTTGAATTAAACTTTATGCATTTAGTCTAAAGATTATGTAAACATATTACTGACCAATGTATATGGTTTTTACTTTTAAAATACCTTTATGTGTGTTTGTGCACACGCACACACACACACACACACCTGTGGGGCGAGGGGCACTATGTGTGTGCAGTACCTGAGGAGCCCAGAAGAGGGCAACAGATATCAGAGAACTGCAGTTCCAGACAGTTGTCAGCCACCTGACATGGGTGTTGGGTGTTGGAACTAAACTCCAGTCCTATGGAAGAGCAGCAAGCATTCTAAGCACTAAGCTATCTCTCCAGGCCCGTAAAGTTTTCACTTTAACTTATTTACTAGCCTGTTTTAGGAAATATGAAGGGAAAGAACTGAGTGAAAGGAAAAACAGCTCCTAATCACCACCCTCCCAGTGGACGGCACAGCCTCTCCCAGGAAGGCTCAAGTAGTGGGTCTCCATCTCTACCATCTGCATCTCTGGGTAGAGCCCAGGAATGTTTACATCATAATGCTACCCTAGTAATCCTGATAAGCACTTAAGATTGACAGCTATCACCATGGAAAGCCTTGAAACAGCTCACTCCTTGAGAAACCTAGGCAATACCTTAGGAGTGGACATGAAGCTTCCCGGACTTGAATTCTCCCGACCCAAACTGGTTAAGGAGGCAAGGTACATGCATCGAATAGTGGTGATGGCACTGGACTGGATTTAAAGTGCTTTTGTTTCTCTTATTTCCATGTTCCCTCTTCCCCCTCATCCCCTCCTCTACCGAAGTTCCTTAAAGGCAAAAGAATAATGAACACAGGTAGTTAAAGCTAGTTCCAAACGCAGCAGCATGCATGTTGTTGGTGCTCGATAGCGTGAAGTGAATTAAACTATTTCCTCACCAGGAGTATCACTCCAAAGACAGCGAAGGATGCAGCTATAGATTGAAACAAGTGTGATCTTTCAGCACACAGGAAGGGAACCCCGAGAGAAGCAGCAGCCTTCACACTTCTCCGGCAAGTGATCTGTCTTGGAAAGCTGACACCCCAGTGTGGTCATTAAAGATGGTGTCCTCAGCAGTAACAATACCGTCTCCTTGGCTTTCATACCTCAAATCTCATCTTGTCTAGACTATTAAACATTTGCAGCCATTATTTGCTTTAACAGTAAAAGATTCATCTGTGGTCACAAAAGGATTTTCCTAATGAGAAATACTTATATGAGGAGTAGGATTTGGCCTCAATTATTATCATTACTGTATAGTGTCTCTCAAATGCTGTGTCATGTATGTGTCTAAGGACCTCATCCTCAGCACAAACCTATGCAAATGTGCTATTATTCATCTCTATTTTAAGATGTGGGAGGCACAGGAAAGATGAGCTATAGCTACCCAGAGTTAGGAGCCACTTTGTGCCCAGGATGCCAAGCAGAGCAGAACTCTTTGGCCTCAGGACTCAGCCCATATTGTGATCTTTTCTGATCATTGCCAAAGCTCTTAGAAGCAATGTGGCCTGTCACATAAATGGTCCCATGTCCCTGGGGAGAATGCTGGCCGGGACTAAGAACCCAGAGATTCCATCCCCACAATGCTGGGGAGAGAAACCCAGCCTCCGTCTGCTTACAAGGGACAGGGTGGGTATTTCACTCCCCTTTCCCTGGTAGGCTCTTCTCTGAGACAGATGAAATGGGTAGAAAGGGATTTTAAAAAAAACAGCAATGCAAGACAAAAACAGTACTCATTTTTAAGACAGGAAACACTTTCAGGAGAATTAAAAAAAAAACTACTTTGTAGTGCCGGTCAGTGGTGGCACGCGCCTTTAATCCCAGCACTCAGGAGGCAGAAGCAGGTGAATCTCTGTGAGTTTGAGGCCAGCCTGGTCTACAGAGCGAGACCCAGGACAGCCAGGGTTGTTACACAGAGAAACCCTGTCTCGACATCAAAAGCAAACAAACAACAACAAAAACCCATTGTAGCCACAAAAATCCCTCTGTTAAAAGATAGGAAACATCTACTTCACCCACAGGACTGTCTTCCACGGAAAATGCCCCCTCCCATACCCTCAGATGCCATTGTCTGAAGCTCTGGATCTTGATAATGTGGTTCAGACATAGACCAGCAAGCCCTAGGCCAGTGACAAAGTCGTGTTTGGGGCTTGTGAGAATGCCCCATACACAGGGAGCAAAGAGAGCCTGCATGTTGGGAGTGGTGATCTCAGGCCCCAGAAAGACAAGACAGGAACTGGTGTCCTGCTAGGCCCCCACAGCTGATGAGGCACTCCAGGACTCAAGGCCTATTTCCTATTTCTGTAGCAGGAAGAGAAAATGGGCCACTGCATTGGTCTGTGTTCCTTGTTTCTTCTCCCATGGTGCCAGGTCCCCTTGAATTTTATCCAGCCTGCACCAGACTTCAGCCCAGCCCCACCGCCCCATGTCTAGGCTCTGTCTTACTGTTCTACGCCCCACTCCCCATGCCACCCCACCCCCACCCCGATACTCTTGTGTTTCTCAATATCCCATCCTGGCTGACAAGCCCCCCGAGAGGTATAACTCTGAATTAAAGCCTATAAGCAATTAAACATTCACTCAAGCCCCCAAAGAAAGCAGAAACTTTTGTTATATCCTTACTCTGATGGCACTGGGGTCCCTGTTTCCCACCCCACTGAGGTTCAGTCTCCCTGCACACCCTTCTTGGGTACCTGGGATATAAATGGCGCGACCATCGCCCCGATGCGACACAGGGAACCACTGGTTCCCATCCCCAGAGCGCGCATTGGAGTAGGGTAGACCTGCAGAGGAGAGAGGCATAGAGAACACAGACTATGGGAATACAGGATGGATTTCAGGGCAGAAGATGCTCATTGTCTTTGGTGTCCAGTTTTCAATTTTAAACAAGTTACATTTATTCATTTCTCGTGTGCGTGGATACGCATACATGTCGTGGTGCATGTGTGGCAGTCAGAGGACAACTTGCTGTCCCTCCATGTGACTCTCAGAGAGTCAACTCATATTGTCATGTTTGGCAGCCAGTGCCTCTCCCCCATGAGCCTCCTCGCCAGCGCCGTGATGGTGAATTTTGATGTCAACATATTTGGATTGGGAGCTGCTTAAATTAGTAAAGGGCAGAAGCACGAGACCTGCCCTGATCAATTGTCTAATCCATGAATGGACTCAAAATTTACATATACTATTGGAAGGCAGAACTTCAGAAGCCTGGAGTTGTTAGAGGAGGTGGTCACTGGCCATGGGCTTTGGAGGGTGTACCTTAGCCCAGGTCCTGGTTAGAGGAGGTGGTCACTGGGCATGGGCTTTGGAGAGTGTACCTTAGCCCGGGTCCTGATTACAGGAGGTGGTCACTGGGCATGTGCTTTGGAGGTTACCTTAGCCCGGGTCCTGGTTACAGGAGGTGGTCACTGGGCATGGGCTTTGGAGGGTGTACCTTAGCCCGGGTCCTGGTTACAGGAGGTGGTCA